AGTATAGAAAAAGCGAAGGAGGTGGGTACGTACGTAGTGTGTGCGGTGAGATTCTGCAAAAAAGAAAAAAAAATTCTGTACGTCTGAAATTTTTCATAATAAAACGTGGGAGAAAGTATCATCTGTCCTTAAAAGCCTACATGATGTTCCGGTACTTTGGGGACAGCTTTCTAGACTTCCTAAATTACCGTGTCCGATTGTCCGTGTATGTTATCAGACCCTCTTCCATGGCGGTAGTCCTAGTGTGACCCTTGGAGCTGGTTGGCGCTTTTATCTTAGCTTTTGGGTTGGCCAGTGACCTCCTTGTGGGCAGGCAGTCTGTCTTCTCTTTATATCCCTGATGCACCAGGCAGGCATCGTAGAAGGCGCAAAGAGGTGGCCCCCACCTGCCAGTAGGATTCGTTTAGGAATGTCATGCATGCTTAACGTTGCCATTACCTTTATTGAAAGTCCTGTTTGTAATGTAAGGTTACTGGACCACTGTGTGTGCGTGTGTGTGCGCGCGCACGCACGTGCATGCGCACACACACACTCGCGAGTGTTTTAGAAGAAAGAGAAAAATTAGGGTTAACGTTTCCAATTCCCAGCATTCTGATCACGACTGCAAAACAAGACTATGCTGTGTGACCCGAGGCCGGCTGCCGGTTACATCGGTGATTGTGGGTGCCCAAGCTCCCAGTCCTTGGCAAGGGAATTCTGGACTATATGGATCCACCCCATTTGGAAAGCCGTACTATAGAAATATATATAAATAGGGCTCAGATGTTCTTGTCAAGGTCACTGACCAAGATTCATTCAGAACCTTGTTGATTTCCCCAAAATATGTACAACCCCGGGGTGCCTAATAGATACTCCACGGTCATTTGGAATGTCATCCTTGTTTCCATAATGGTAGGCATATTTTAATTCTGGGCAGATTTAGAATTGAAAACGGAAGATTTTAATAGAATCAAAGCTATAGTGTTAATATTTGACTCAGAGGATTTATACATATTTGATGTTTCAAGTAATTATTTGAAATAATTTGGCCCGTGCCACAGGTGAGCCTTTATGTCCAAATTAAAATGTGCAATGAGGTAATTGGTTTAGACTTGATTTGGGGGAGGGTTGAAGTCTTACTAGAATTGTAAGCAGTATTAGAGCATTTAAGATAATTCGTTAGGTTTCTAAGAGTTGTTTAAGGGAAGGTTTTGGAAATTCAGTCAAACAATTCTAATAATTAAAAGAATTAAATATATTCTAAGTTAAATACCCGGTTTTAAACGTTTAAAGGACTTTCAATTAGCTTTGTAAAATGGAGCAAACATTATTTGAATGGCCCTTTGAAAGTGATTATAAAAATTATAAGATATGTAAGTTGAGCTTAAAACTTAAGGATGAACTAGATAGAGTGTTCACATCTGTTGTTTTTGTGGTTTTTTTTTTTTATGTTTACTTTTGAGAGAGAGAGAGAGAGAGAGAGAAAGCCTGAGTGGGAAGGGGCAGAGAGAGAGGGAGACACAGAATCCAGAGCAGGCTCCAGGCTCTGAGCTGTCAGCACAGAGCCCGATGCAGGGCTCGAACTCACAAACCACAAGATCATGACCTGAGCCAAAGTTGGTCATTTAACTTACTGAGCCACCCAGGCGCCCCTTGTTTTTTAAATAAATGAATAAAATATCCATTTTTAAAAACCAGGTAAGCCCAAATAGTGTTTCTGCGTACAAAGCTGCCCGCATGGTGATTAAAAAATTCACACAAAATAAAGTGATTAACAAACACTGTACTTACTAGATCAGGTGGGTGCTCAGAGTGAGTTGAATCTGAATTTAAAAGTCGAATCAGGGGCGCCTGGGTGGCGCAGTCGGTTAAGCGTCCGACTTCAGCCAGGTCACGATCTCACGGTCCGTGAGTTCGAGCCCCGCGTCGGGCTCTGGGCTTATGGCTCAGGGCCTGGAGCCTGCTTCCGATTCTGTGTCTCCCTCTCTCTCTGCCCCTCCCCCGTTCATGCTCTGTCTCTCTGTCTCAAAAATAAATAAAAACGTTAAAAAAAATTTAAAAAAAAATAAAAGTCGAATCAGCGGTACCCCTTGTGAAGGCAAGAAACACACAGAAACCTCAAGTTAATTACCCTTCACGGCTTCAAACATGGTATGAAAGAAAGAACGCGCAGGGTTTCGAAAGGTGATCTTACTTACGCAAAGAACAGGGACGTGAGAGTCACAACAAGCTTCAGTGAAATGGTGGCTGTCGCGTAGTGCTCTGCGCATGCTAGGTGCTCAGCGAGGCCCTGCTGTAGAGAGGGTAATGTTGAGAAGTTTGATTTGACATCATTTAGCTCCGACGGGTATCGTTTGCACAGACCGCAGGGTTGTGTACGGTCAAATGTGGCTAACCTGGATGTTCATCTCCCCGCGGGACCACATGCCATAGGCAATCAGTTATGGAGGTTACGTGTCACACAAGTCACACAGCCGCGTCTGCTTTCACAGAAGACGGGTATGGGGGCAGGGCACATTCCTGCCATCTAGACAAGGTTCGGGTGAAATTGCATGTAATATAGAACCCTGGATTTATTTTGTTCTGGCCACTCAGACAGCCCTAAACAGGGCTCACAGTGAGGCCCTGGGCTGGAGGATGCTTGGCTCGTCTGCAGACATTGTCATTTAGGTCTGGCTTCTGGTAATGAGGCACTCCTGGCCGGGCTGTGCTGTCAGCGAGCCTTTGAGACAAATTGCAAAATCTGTACAACCATTTGAGAGATGGAGAAGCAGACCCGAGGACCCTACAGGGGATATTGGTAGTTCTCAAAAGTTTGAAACAGAATGCTCAGAGAAGCAGTTTAAACCTGAATTTAGAGGTCCTTTTCCTGTGGTTAAAGCGTAAGTTCAGACAAGAATGAGGATGTGAGAGGATCCTGACGGGCTGGAATGATAAACTTAATCTAACAGGATGAAATGCAGTAGCAATAAATGTAAGCTTCTGTATTTGGATCTGAAAAATCCCAACTGTGCACGAAAAGACTGGGCACAGAGGTAGAGAGATATATCTGAGGAGTAGTCTATATGAAAAAGACCTCTAGGAGTTCAAGTGATATAAATTGACAGTTTATTGTGGGTCCCCAAAATCAAATGCAGTCTTAGGCTGCATTAACAGAAGTAGGGTATTTAGGATGAGGGAGGTGATAGACTCATTCTGCTGTGGACTTGTCACAGGAAGAGCACCACTACGGTTCTGGGCTCCAGCCTATGAAAGGAAATTAGATAAAGGATGCTCACCGGATGGCTGTGGTAGTGTTCCAAAAGCTGCCACAGGTAACAGGAACAGAGGAAGTTTGGCCTAGGTACAACTCCAGGAAGACCTGAAAGTTGTTAATATCTGAGAGTCAGTCACGTGCATAGCCTCGTTCATGTGAAGAGGAACAAGGAGAACCTGGGGATGAAAGTTCTAAGAAGCTCCAAATAAGGAGGGTCTTTTGTTTTTTTGTGTTTTTTTTTTTTTTTTTCCTTTGAGAGAGAGTGTGTGTGAGCAGGGGAAAGGGGCAGAGGGAGAGAAAGAGGGGGAGGGGGGGAGAGAGACAGAGAGAGAGAGAGAATGAATGAATGAATGAATCTCGAGCAGGCTCCATGCTCAGTGCAGAACCCCACATAGGACTTGATCCCATGATTCTGGGATCAAGTGACTTGAGTTGAAATCAAGAGTCAGACACTCAACTGACTGAGCCACCCAGGCGCCCCTTTTCATTCTTAAATATGGTTTAAGATAAAGTGGACTGCTTCCTTAATTCTATAAGTGCTTGGTTACGTTTATAAGACTCTAGGCTTCTAGCGGTAGGAGCAGATGACCCAGAGGAATCTCCCAGCCCCAGGATCCCACAATTCCTTTGCCTTCCAGTGGTGACCCTGATCTGCATGGTCCTAACACAGACATGCACGACAGAGCCATGATGACAGGAACCTTCTAGGCAGTGCCGAGGGAGTCTTCAGAATCCTCAGACGAGCTTTCCACAAGGACACTCTTGGGTTGATCCTCATTAGGGCTGCCAGTTTTTTACTGTGCCAGGGGAGATCTGGGGGGGTGCGGTCCCTCTCTGTCGCCAGAGGCTGTGTTATTGTCTCATTGGTTCTTTCTGCGTGCCCAGCAGTGTGTTGGGTGCCGGGGAGGCTTTTGGGGAACAGACAAAGCTCTTGTCTTGTCTGAAGAGGTTCAGTTATGCAGAATGTCTGCAAAGTAAGGCAGCACAAACGAATTCTACAACCAGCTCTACAGCTAACAAATGTGGTTAACTGAACGAGAGGGCTTTTATTTCATGTAGTGTTATTAATACCTTTCCCCACTTAGCGTCAGGGACACATCCTCCCATGACATTATAGTTCTTCGAAGTCAGATTACCTGTCTGACATCTCCGTCTCCTGGTGGGGTAAAGCCGGGATATTTTGCTTATTCTTGTAGGCATTTTCTTTCCCCTACAGGTTATAAAGCTTTGAGGTAGTTAAGTCATTTCTTTTTCTTTTTCAGAACATGATCTCGTGTATAGTTAGTTACTAGGACAGTAACATCTTTCGGGAATGTTGTTAGCCCCTTGTTGTAGGGTTTCTGTGGTCACAGCAGGTCAGTCTCCGGTGGCTCTCATGACTCTAACTGGAGTGAACTAGGGATGGAAACGTGGGTGCAGCGAAATGGGCATGGAAACTAAGATGGAAACAGATTTGTGGATTCCCGCGCAAAGCCTTGTGTTTGTTGCTCGTACAGGTTGACCACCTCTTTAGGCACAAACGTGTAAAGAAACAAAAAGGCACATTTCTACCCTCAGTTGCTGATCCTAGTAATTAAATGCCCTTCATCCTAATTTCCCCTAGCAAATATTTTTGCAAACAATCGTACTGTTTTATTTTTCTGGCATGAATAGATATACAGCTCCAACTTTGAAAATTTTTTGTTCTAACTTCTTAGCTTTCAGAGGCTTTTTTTTTTCCTTTTTTTAAGTAACCCATCTTATTGTAAATTCTTCTTTCTTTCAGGTAGGAATGAATTGATAGCCAGATACATCAAACTCAGGACAGGCAAGACGAGGACCAGAAAACAGGTAAAATAACGTACCTGGACACTGTGCATGTCAGCGAATGGCCCGACGAGGCATTTTGGCTGCACTGGCTGGCTGTGCTTTGGCTCCTAGGAGCCCCCAACTTGAGTTCCCTGTAAGGACGTCAGTATTGGAGGTGTTTCCAATTGGCTCAGTTTTCACTGTTCATCATTTCAGTGACCCTTTACGATGTGGTCTCCAGAGTTCTTTTTATACACACATGGGAAAGTCTCACTGCCAAGGACAGTGTATGCACTGGTCTGGTACTGTACTTTAATACTTCTGTTTCTTTCCCGAACTGCGCATCTGTAAACGCTACAGATGCTGCAGGTGCAAGTACACTTGGAAGTCACGAAATTTTGAGATTTTGCGCATTGTAAAATCCTGGAACAATTCTGCATTAGTCATCATTTCGATGCAAAAGTAACACTGGCAGCCATGACTGTTGGCCTGAACATAATACTGAATGATGTGCGTCCAGGGAACTGTTGCTCCTTAAGCTATGGCTTTTTGTCAGTAGCTGCTGTGACTGAAATGAAGTTATAACTTAAATACCTTTGTGCAGAGTAGCGTCAGGAATTTTCCTCTGCCCTTTGTCAGGGCTCTGGCTCTCTCCCCGTTCCTTCTGACGTAAAGCGGTCCAAATCTCTGACCCAGTTCAGAACTGGAATGGATGAGCAATTCGTGTTTAGCTAAAAACGGAGAAAGAAAGAGAGAAAGGCAAAGGGGGGAAGAGCCTCGAACAAACCTCATGGGTGAGCTGTTAACAGAGCACAATTATTTTTTAATATTGACCTATGCTGATCTCGCTGGCACGGATTTTGAAAACTATCATCGTACCAAAAGGCAAGCTTAACTGTGGATCTCGTTAAGTATGAGCGGCAGACTCCGGTTCTCTGCTCAGCGATGAGTTGTTTTCATGAGTGTTTATGACGGGGAGAGCTTTTCTCCAGGAATGTTACATGTGCCCCCGCCAGGAGCCCGACTGCTGAGTCAGCACAGAGGGCCGTGGCTTCCTGCCAGGGCTCAGAGGCAGGGCACTGTCTGTTTGGTGCATGCTCCCCCCACCCTGTGACAGTGGACAGTGGCCCTAGGCAAGTCAGAGAAGCATGTAAGAACAAAATTAGGGGGAGAACAAGTAAAAGCAGGAGCCGGATGGAGGGGTGACGATGATGGGGGAGTTCCCGCTTCTCTGTACTTAAAAAAAAAAAAAGGCAACTTGCAAACAAAAATCATTGAAACTCAAAGATAAAGCTAAAGATAAAAGGATCTTTTGTTACCATCAATCCTGTTTTTATAGTCAGTATAGTGTTCGAAATGGAATAACTGCCTCTCAGTCCGAGTTGCTGAACTTTTCAATGGAGGGTTCTAAATTTCCGAAATAGATCCAGTTCCCAGCATACTGAAAGCGGTGGACCTGGGCTATCTCTCTGCTGGGTCTGTGAGCCCTAGTCCCGCGCCCAACCCCTTCACCGGGGACTCTTCTAAATTTAACCAAATGTAACCCACTGAAAGAGATGCAAATTTGTTTACCCAGTGGAATCATTGTGTTTCCGAAGCTGGGCTTGGCTTGGTTTCCAACACCCCGGCATCCTGGGGATGTTTTTAGGCAGCAGTTGGTGATACCTCTCCAATGTGAATTTGTTGTTCAGCAAATCGTGTGGTTTTCAACCCAGATTTTTAGCAGGATGGCTGGCTGGCTGTATTCACACTTTTCGCTTTGTAATAATATGCAAATCCACTTCGCGCCCAGTCAGTACCCAAAAGAGTGGAAGGATTGAAGATATTTATAAGGGGGGGGGGAGAAAAAAACCCCTCTGCTGACTGGGTCTGTCCATTTCTCTGTGAGATCTAATTTACATGTCGGTATTATTTTAACATTTGCTACAGAATCCAGAGCTCTTAATGAGATCAGAATATAACCGACAGCTTCGGCTTTTTGATTCTGCAGAATGTGCTAATTTATGGATGGTCTCTTCTAAATTGAGAAGGAGGGATTTTCCCTCCTGATCCTGAGAAGCTATAAATATTTTCATTTACCTCTAGCCCCACCTTTTAAATTTCATCAAGAAAACAACTCCACTCTCCCCCTCTCATCCCGTGCCCGTGATTTCTCCCTGGTGAGAAAACTAAAAGCAGCCTAACTTTCATCCTGAATCAAGTCACTGCAGTGATGACCCAGTCTGAAAAGCTTAGAGCAGCGCTGGGGGCTTGGTGTCTGGCTGGGACTGTGTATTTCCTAACTGCAGAGCTTTGTTGAGATGCAAATAACCTTCCCCCAACCCCCACCCCAAAACCCTCCCAAGGAGTAGCGATTTTATATTTGATTTCCTTTTTTTGTTTTGTTTTGTTTTGTTTTGTTTCCCCTCATAAACCCGAACAATGTAGGTGTCTAGTCATATACAGGTCTTAGCAAGAAAGAAAGTTCGAGAAATTCAAGCCGCCATTAAGGTACGTCTGGCTTGCCCAGTTGTAGGGGGCTTTTCATCTCCATGGTTACAGGCTTTTCCTTTGTTTTCCTCCCTTCCCCTACCCTGCAGGTGTCTAGTCACATTCAGGTTCTTGCCAGAAGGAAATCTCGTGATTTTCATTCCAAGCTAAAGGTATGCGCTTTCCTGCTTTTTGGCTTGTGGTTGCTATGCATCTCACTTCCTGTTTTCCATGGTGACTGGTGAATGCCTGGTGCTGGGATTCTCGTAACCTAGTTTCCTCGCATGTGAGAGCTGTTTACATTTCTTTGTGTCTAATCTCTGTTTCTGTACTAGCCTCACATTAAGCTTAGTGTGTGTGTGTGTGTGTGTGTGTGTGTGTGTGTGTGTGTGTGTGTCCCTAATAACAATGCAAATGCAGCAGAAAGCTGGTCTTGATAACTTTTCAGCTCAGAAACATGATTTTTTTTTTAACCTTCAAATGTCCACCAAACAGCCCTGGGCTGGGAGAGGAAAAAAAGTCCAGAGACACAAAGTTAGTATAGAAATTGTAAAAAAAAAAAAAAAAGTAATAAAGTAAAATAAAATGCATCACTTCTAGAGTAGTTCTCATGATTACTTTAAAAAATATTTAGAAGTCATTTTTTTGTACTTGTTATGTATTTTAGAGAATACTTATGAGAAGTATGTCTTTTCATGTAATTTTTCAAGTATTCTTTCAAAACAGACAGTATTTTCTGCCAGATTTCTTCCACGTTGCTCAATATTGTTTTTTAAGGGTACAGCTCTGTTATTAAAAAAGAAATTTGAGGTGAGGCCTTTAAAAAAATCTTAAGAGATGGGAAGGCTCTTAATCAAATCCGTGTTTGCAGTTCCATTTCTACTTGAGTTTACTTTAATTGTTTTTTACGTGTGTCTCATTTTCTAGTCTCTGAAAATATATTTCACAGCAAAAATGGAGGCATTGAGATTTTTAAAATGCAAGTTCTCCGTATTTTCTCCCCTTCCAAAATTTGTAGTAAAAGATAAGTGACTTTTTCTTTCCATAATGCCCCATTTTAAAAATGCAAAGGAATTATAGTTTACATAGAAGAGCTTTACTTTATAATAAAAATGAATTTGTGGCCCATATTGTTGCCCTTCCCACATGCCTTTTTTTGTTGTTGTTCCATTTTGATTTTTTCCATACATTAATTAAATTTGTTTTTGTTCTAAACCTAAAGAACGAAGTGCGATTTCACAGCACTGAATGCTGAACACTGGGATCCTTCCCAAAGTCCTCCAACTTTTTTTTTTTTTTATGCAAACAAGGCTGGCTGTGGAGCAGGACTAGCGACCAGGAAGGAGCATTTGGTGGCCCTCTGCAGTGGGCTGCATGCTGGCTCGCTCGCACGTGTGGCTGATGGT